AATATATATATATATATATATATATATATATATATATATATATATATATATATATATCATTCTATATCATTCTATGTGATTTATAAGCTTGTTTCCTCATGGGGATAAAAAAAACAAAAAAAACAATGTCCCCGCAATGACAAGGATTTTGGATATTGCCATTTTTGTGCACTCTAAAAAATGCTGGGTTGTTTCAAATATGGACTAACCTAACTTTTGGGTTTAAAATTAAATAAAAAAAATTAGCCCGACAGCTGTGTTGGTACATATTTGACCCAAAGCTGGGTTGAAACAATCCAGCATTTTTTAGAGTATGGGGACATTTTGTCCCTATAATGTAGGGTATACCTGAACCACACACACACACACACACACACACACACACACACGCATGCATCAGCACACTGTAACGTAGGACTCCAGATTAGTGCTGGTTGACGATTAGGTTAAGCTGCATTCAGATGACTTGCTAAACTACACTCGTTCAGCAGAACTTTGAGAGCTCAATAGATAAGGCGACCATAAGACTGTAGCATTTGGACCAATCAGACACACAACTTTTTGTTATATTTAACAAATAATATCTAACTCCCATTCTGATGTATTTAGTAAAATGCATTACCAGCTAACAGGGATCGTTCTCAGAACTTTGGCTAACATTCTGGCAAGGTTCTCTCAAACTTATGAACAAACATTCTTCAAGTAACGTTAACAGAACATTCATTCGGTGTTATCTGGTGTTTAATAATGTTCTCAAAATGTTAGCACAAAAACATTATTTATACATTGTTCATGTTTTTAAAAACATTTTAGTTGAATGCTCATTTAATGTTTTTTAAATGTTACTTATTGTTTCAGAACGTTCAGAGAACATTCAAAAGTAACGTTCCCATAACGTTTGAAAAATTATAAGAAATGGAACGTTCCCTTAACGTTCGCATAACCAAGACAAATAATTGAACCTTTTTACAAGATATTAGAACATTTTAGACATCTATCTGAGGAAGTACATACTGATTTATCTGAAAGGAGTAGTCTATAAATCACTGGCAACATGTTCAGTGTGTAACACCTCACACAGCATGAATGCAGCAGTAAAGATGCTGAGCTGGTAAAGCCTGTACTGACTTAACTTTATAGACAGATTATCCTCACTGCTGTCCTTATACTAACAGGTTATTAGGACACAGAAGAGCCTCTAATCAGATGAAAAAAAGTATATTTATAATAAATGTATGTATATATATATATATATATATATCAATTTTGTTAAATATTAAATAATATATATTCAAATCAGAGAATTAAAAACATTTCCATTCATTTCATTCTCTCTCAGTATTTGAAATGAAACTCTCATGTCAGGTCAAGTCAAGATTTAGTGTCGTCATTCTGCTGCACAGTGGAAAATGGACTGAAGTAGAATCCCAGGAAGAGGACGAAGCCTAGGCTCTGACACAGTACTGTCGTACCAAAGCGCTTTACTGCACTCATGCACGAACTTACCAGTTGTTTGTGATAAATAATGATAATGTTATGAATCTAAAGGGTCAGTTTTGTTCATTTTCCCACAATCCTCTTTTCTTCTCTAGTGCATTGCAAGGCTGTGAGCAAGCTAATGATGGACTTCAATTGAGGTTTTGTATGGAGGTTTCTTTTGTTGCTGTTTCATTTGTTAGACACTAGAGAGTGCCCTAGCACCTGATGTTTGTTTTGGGGTTAGCAGATCTCAACTAGAGAGTTCACCTGAGAGTTGCATTCCTCTCTTTAGATTGTTCTTTGCCATTGTTGCGTTTGTCTTAAGTTTTTGAGGCCAGGATGTGATTATCTGTAAGCACGATGCGTTCCCACCAACATTTTTTGTTAGCAGGATTTTTTTAAAGCTATTAGTATTTATTGAAAAATGTATTTCAGTGTTCCGTCTGAAGATTGACTGAATATTATTTGATTGAATTCAATGTATTGTTCCAGCTCTAAACTCTTATTCGGTGAACTTCTTTTGAAGCTGTTGTAAAATACCAGCGGGGAACGCAGAGGCTACAAAAGCTACACACGCACACACACAAAAAACCTTTCTGTACTATTTAAATGAGACCTAAGCTGCATCAGTGATGGTGTGGTCTTCCTTGTGTCAGAGTGGTTTAGCTAGTATTTTATTTTCCTTGACGTCACAACTTGTCAGAATGCCTTGTACAGCAGGGATCTCCAGCCCTGCTCCTGAAGAGCTACTGTCCTGCAGATTTCAGTTCCAACCCTGCTCCAACACACCTGCCTGTGATTATCAAGTAACCCTGAACACCTTGATTAGCTGCTTCAGGTGTGTTTGACTGGGGTTGGAGACACCTGGTGTACAGTAACATACAAAGGCATGAATGTTAATTGTCTTTAGTATGAATATATGAATAGTTGTAGTCAATTGAAAAGGACACACATAATATGAATCCTTTGTGTTGTCTCTGTGTAAATTAGATTTGAAATATCATGCTATATTATCAGAAAAACAATCTAATACAATCTATTTTTTTTTGTTGGGAAAAATTAGGCTTTGTAGACCTTTAGATGAAATAAACATTGCTGTGCAAAAATGGCATCAAGAAGTAAAATGTATTTTCCGCTCGATTATTCAGTACATCTTGAAGAGTTCATTATAAATTTGACCATAAAAAGACATAAATCATACCCTACCTATCTATCTATCTATCTATCTATCTGTCTATCTGTCTATATATCTATCTATCTATCTATCTATCTATCTATCTATCTATCTATCTATCTATCTGTCTATTTATCTATCTATCTATCTGTAAGGAAAGAGAAACCCGTATGAGTCTTTTCATGTCATGGTGTTATTTGTATTTGAATTAGGAAGCCCAGTAATGTCCAGGGGTCTCATTTATAAAACTCTCCATAGATTTCATCCTAGAAATGTACATATGCACATATGCACAAAAGCGCAGAACCTGCGCAAAAATCCCTTTATAAATCCCAGCCAGGGTAAGATTGTGCGCACGTGCGTCTCCACGCCGACTCCTCCCCGAAATCACCATATATGGAGCTTACAACGCCTAGTTTTACTATGCATAACCTCATCTGCATATCATTTCCATGCATATTCCCATCCACGTGACACCATATTTAACATTATTAAAGGTACAAGACATTAAAGAAATATGATTATACGAACTATAAATGCCATTTGTGCCATACACAATTTTTATTGCTAAAAACCATCCAGTGTCCTTGTTATGTTTTAGCATAAATATATCAAAATCCATAAAAACAAAACGGTTTAAAATAGTTCTCAGATAAATATTTTAGAATAGAGTTGATCTCATTCTTTTCCACTGGCCGAATAGTATTTCAATTGTTTTAAACAATTCAAATCAAATTTAATTTATGCGGTTTTGCTGATAAGGTGAACATATTTTAGCTATTTTTAGCCTATATTTATTGCAGTGTAAATATAATGTCTGACTCGGCACGTCACTGACAAAGTAGCCTATTTTAAAAAGAAAACATGCAAATTACCATTTTCTTCAAGTTGTATCCTTCAGATACAGTGGTATTTTTCATAATGTTGTGGAGATGCCTTCACACGACATCAACACCTCCGTGCAGCTGCGGTTGTACAGTAAGCTATTATCATTGGTCCTGTTCAAACCAGACAACAGACCGTTCCACCGAATCCAGCAGTAAGTGCGCATCATTGATCATTGTTCTCACTAAAATATTTTCTCATAACATGAGATCTGCAGTTTAGTTGAAATATGAATTATTGTGCACCTATAGCACACCTCGCTGTCATTAAAACAGCATGCCACAAGAAACGTGATCAAGCGCATCCACTAAATATGTCTAAATTCATGTTCACACAAATGTTTGTCTAGAGTAATTTGTGCTTGTTAGTACGGTTGAACTGGATCCTCGAAGGTCAGAAGCAAAGACATTGGTTAATAGAATGGGATTAAAAACATAAAGGATATTATAATAATTATTGCAGGTTTGCGTCATATTCTGAGTTGCATTATTTTTATTCATTTTGAGGAATACTGAATCTGTGTGTTTTTTTGTGTGAGTGAGATGAATTCATGCATATTCATATTTATTTTAGAACTACAGTAACATCTTCTGATTTCTCTCAACATGGGGACAGGAGAGTTGTAAATCAATAAATAAGAAAAAAAGTAACTTGCGTTACTTATTTGAAAAAGTAACTCAGATATTCTCTTATAAATTAAAAAGTAATGCGTTACTTTACTAGTTACTTGAAAAAAGTAATCTGATTACGTAACTCGCGTTACTTGTAATGCGTTACTACCCCCAACACTGGTTATGACTTACGTAATTTCAGTGTTTATATCCATTAATGAGAGTGGAATATTTAATGTAAATGTGTATATCGAAATGAAAACAGATTTTTAAAATCGTTGTTTACTTCATTACTTTTCTCTCTGCGTACGCATGGTCTAGAATGTCCGTACGTAAGTTTATTTTTTATAAATCCCGATATGTGCGTGGAAAATTGCGTAAGCAATAAAAGTCTTTTATAAATGAGACCCCAGAAGATGTTAGTGGTAGTTTTCTTTTGGTCTTCCATCTTTGCTTCAGGGGCTACATGCGTCTGTGCACATACACAAGGGTTTTGCAGCATGGGCAACGATGCTCTACGTCCTTGCAGGAATCCACACAGAACGGAATCAAACAACACGGCCAGATCCTGGACAGAAAACAGGATCCGTTTCATATGCTTTTCACATACTTATATTAGTTTCATATACTTTATTTGGTTAGTGGTTCATTCATTCAATTCACTCAGCAACTACATAATCACAAAAATAACTCTTCGCTTTGAGGCGTGCATGTGAAATAACCTGCACTTCTGCACAACAGGTTAGTTGTAAGTGGCACATAAAAATAAAATCCCCGGTCCCTTCTCTAAGTGGGCAGTTCCTGGAAAGTGGACCAAATAGTTAAAAGTCTGTATGTGTGAATACTGTTCTTACCCTAAAATGCCAAGACCTCCACAGATGGCCCACACCAGCAGGCCACTGACATATGTGGTCTCTGTGACGACCTGCTGCTGGCAGTGAGGACATTTCATCTGCCCCGGGACGTTAGTCAGTTGTGGTGGCATAACTACCACTGTGGCTAAATGAAGAGACACATATAATATGATCATAAACCTCTAATGTACTATTCTGTACAGATGCATCATGTGTATGCTGAAACCTTCTAGTGTTTGAACACAGACTGAGGCAGAGTCTCATTATACTAGTGCTTTTCTGCTCACCCAGGGCAGGTGCAGTAGACTGGACCATCTGAGTTACAGTGGACGACATGACCGTGGGCTGTGGGTAGTGAACTGCCATTGGAGCCGAAGAGAAAACAAAGCTCATGATGAAAACCAACAGAACCAATCTGGCTTCTTATGCAACCATTATGTATTGTTGGTCCTTTTAAAAGCTTTATAAATCATTCAGACTTGAGATGAAGGAAATCTTAGCCTGTAAACGTTTGGTTTTTATGTTATAGTGTTATACTGAAGTGTGCTGGTTGTCATTTAAACAGAGAGCCTTATAACACAAGACATCAGCACTCACCGATGCCAGGCATTGATGAAGACTGGACTGTCTGAGTTATGGTGGATGAAGACATGACTGGCCCTTGTGCAAATGGAGCTGGGTAAACTGTTGCCATTGGAGCCAGAAAACAGAAAACCACGATAGTGGCACAACATGAGGTTTAGTCAGAACTCAAAAGATCTTTTCTCTAAGTTCACTTTCAAATTGCAAATAAAAAAAAATCATACACCCTCCTTCCACCACACAATTTTTAAAAGACAAACATCACAAACATCATATGTGTGTGTGTGTGTGTGTGTGTGTGTGTCATGGCATCATGACTGTGCAGAGTTGCTTTCCTTTTCTATGTTTAGACAGTGGAGGCATCATTTTGGAATGCTGTAGGACTTCTTTACAGTATCATTGTGGTATATTGAACCAGTTAAAACTTCCTCCTAAACTACAGTCTCATACCACACAGTAAATATCAGTTCTCACCAATGCCAGGTGACTGGACTGTTTGGGTTATGCTGGATCCCATGACTGTCTGTGTGGGTGGTGGACTGTATACAGTGGCCACTGGAACTGTAAAAAAGATCATTATTGAATCACTATAGTTAAATGACTGATAATCTCTGAATTGAGAATCAGGGGTCTGCTGACCTGGTTGGGTTTGACAGGCAACCTGTGGTGTCTGGTAGGAAATGTAGTTTTGGGCCATTGGTGGTCCAGGATATGGAGGGGGTGACAATCCTTTTTCCATTATCAGCAATCTGTGAATAAGAAAAAAAATCAGTGTGACAGTTCTACATAGCACAATGCAATAGTAATTGAGTAATAGACTGACTGCTGCCTTTGTCTCAAATCAGGAAAGTCACTATTATGAAGGGTTTGGGCTGTGCATATTTTTGTAATGGCATCAATCTGATCTGGTGACTGGCTCAAAAATATGTTTGCATCAAGCAGGTTGTGCAATTCTAGAGGTTCGTGCCAGGTAAACTAGGTGAACAGGAATGACATTCAGCCACGGATTATGGACCTTTTCAACAAATGTGGTAATCAAAGCAGAGATTGTTTGGGTATTCAGGTATGTCCTTGCTACACCATCCAACAGCAGCACTTGTTCTTACAAAAAATTTGGAGAAATGTGGCTTTTAGTGGACATGAGAATCAACTTGATCACCTAACACTTCACAAACAAGGGTCACAATTAGGTCATTGTGAACATCATACATTTTATTTGATCATTTAAAAATCAATTTTTTTAATTAAATGTTTTACTGCAGAGTGTGCTTGTGAGTCTCTATTTCAAACACAGCTTGCTTTGATATTTTGTATCTAATGCAATGACTGTGCTACTCACTTTAAAAGTGCGACATAGGTGTCCAGTCTTCATCTCTTCATCTCTCATTAACATGTGATCTGATCTCCTGACAACAGAGCCCTGAACAGCCAGTTTGACCACATTTGATCTGTCAGCGGTTCATGTGATCAACAGACGGCAATGAATAAAAAGTACGGGGACTCGGGTAAATTAGGACACTTTTGACGCTGACATTTACCTGATTTCACTCATGTTGTCTGTCAATAAGCCTTCGTAACCCAGGTTCAAGATAAATAAGCACCTGCATGTTTCGACATTTGTGCAAAAATGATATTACATTGATTCCTGCCGTTTCAAAGTAAAATGTCCCACGAGTGGTGCTAAAAAGCGAGTTTACTTTCCTCTGAAACAGATAAATGTGACTGTGCCAACATTTTATTACTTTGGTCCAGTTTGGAAATCAAATGCCCGATGAATGGCACCAAAAGGTTAATGCTCTATACGTCTTCCAATGAACCTTTAATATTGCTTTTATCGTTATCTCAAGTTTTCACATAACAATTATCTGTATCCAGACATCACAAAGTGACTGTGGAAGCACATAATCCAAAATAAAAAATATGATCCCCATATTTTTCAGTCTAAAACACCAAACTTCTTATAAAATGACACATACCTGTGTGTTTCTGGAGTTGGTGGAAAGCTATGGCAATTATGATGTACTTCACTATTGATACTGGATAAGATAAGGGGTGGAGCTAAAATTAGGCTATTAGTAAGAAGGCTGATGCCAAGTTTCTCATAATATCATGCAGAAGAGCCTGAATGGTCACAAAGCTCCTGAATTTCCAGTGCTGACATCCTCATCCCAGTCATTCTTATATCGGTCAGATGATCCAGTCTCAGACCACTGACCTTCAAGTTCTCTCATATACTTGACATGAACACACTAACAAGAGGATTGTAGGCGTATGTTTGTGTTAAACTAAGAATTAAAAGAGGTTCAGTTTCAGCCTGTAATGTGCATGATGTTTGTTTAGGGGTTTGCATGTATCCTGGTAACAAATACACACTCGTGTAACTGGGCAGCAATGCTCAAGAATGAAACCAGATACATCACTAATGGCTGCGGAGACAACAACGTATTTGTCTGTGTGATTTTAGTGTTTTATTCTGCTGACCATTTCATGACATGATCTGAACATTTCAGTGTAAGAATCCACCCGCCAGCCCAACAAGTGGAATCCAGCGGCCTGGTCGAAGGTTTAATGCGCATTCAGTCTTTTACATGCGCATCTGGATTTATCAGGATTTAGTTTTAATTTTAGTCTAGCTCCGTGTTCAATCAGTTTTTAATTAGAAATATTGCTAAATTTAACGATCACAAATATTCATTTAGATATTTGATTATTCCGGACTCAATACTTTCAATTATCCGTTCACTGGGGACCTAATGTCTCTTTTAAGTCTCATGCTGGGCTTACGTGGATCTTACGATCACAAATTCGCCAGTCTGATGCTAGTCAGAGGGTGTAGGTAGACTAATACCTGTTTTGCCTGCCGCCTATTGCTTGCTTATGACAAAAAGTGTAATTCTCTTAGTGCTTTCCCATACAACTTGCTAACATCACACTCTAAAAAATGTTGGGTTAAATATAACCCAGCGCTTGGTTAAAAAGGGACAAACCCAGCTATTGGGTTGTTTTGACCCAGCGGTTGGATTGTTTTGACCCAGCAGTTGGGTTCAAAACAACCCAACCGCTGGGTCAAAACAGCACAATAGCTGGGTTTGTCCCTTTTTAACCCAGCGCTGGGTTGTATTTAACTCAGCATTTTTTAGAGTGAAGTGTTCCATGCAGGAGACAAACAAATTTAACAGCTGATTTAATTTTATCTTTGCAGCTGAGACCTCAGTGAGCTGAACTGTGGTGGATGGAGACCCATATGGAGGAGATTTGAGGTAATGTGAAGCTGACAAATGTGCAAAAGTATCAAAAGTATCAAAGATTAAACCCACTGAAACCCTCATGGAGAGGCTGGTCCATTTTTCCTCACCTTTGATCTGTGGCACTGCGTTCAAGTTCATTTCATTAATAAGACATATTATCGAATAAACAAAAATGATCTATATCATCAATTGTTTTGTTGTAAAAAAAAAACTGCAAAAAAAAGGGTAGGAAGACTTTTAGAGTAAAACAATTATTTATTCAAATAAACGTGTTGTGCAAAATGACAATGAAAAGTAAATATCTTTAAAAAGTAAATCTTTAAACTTTTTTTTACATAAAAAGTTATGTATATATCAATCAATAAAAAGCTGGTTAAGCATTGCACTCTTATATGTCCACGTTAGATTTGTATATATGTCCAAGAAAGGCTAAAACTAAATTCTGTCAAATTCTCTTAATGTTATTGCCAAAGATTAGTCAGAGCGAATTACATGCGTTTGTACATGTAGACGACATTCTTGCAGTTTGGGCAGTGATGCTCTACGTCCTTGCAGGCATCCACAAAGAATGGAATCAAACAACATGGCCAGATCCTGCACAGAAAAACACTCTCTTTCAGTTAGTGTGCACCCAAAATAATCCATTTATAATCGTATTGATGGCTCAATCAGACTGAAAAGCCTTTATGTAAACACCTCAATGTGATCCCAGCTAACAGGGAATGTTCTCAGACCTCTGGATGATGTTATATCAAAGTTAGGAACAAAAATTCTTCCAGTAATGTTAATATAATGTTTGTTCAAAATGTTCTGGTCTTTACAACCAGTGGTTGTTTTGACCCAGCGGTTGGGCTGTTTTGACCCAGCGGTTGGGCTGTTTTGACCCAGCGGTTGGGTTCTTGTTTCAGAATGCACAGAGAAGAATCAATGTAAAAGCAAGTTTCCCATAATGTTTGAAAAATGATAAAATGGAATGCTCCCTTTATGTTCACATAACAAAGGCACAACACTTTTTAAAAAAATATAAAAATGTTGAGCATTCTGAGATAACTTTTTTATAACTTGATGGGAACGCTAGCAAAACATTCTTAGAATTAACCTTTATAATTATTATCACAGTGGTTTTCTCTAGTTCTGAACTAGAGAAAGTTTAGGGTTTATATAAACAACTTTCAGAATCTGAAATCGGATTGGATTCATTCGGATTGGCAAACATTAGTGCATGTAAACATACTGATTGTACTTTGATTTCAGCTGTAGCAAGTCAAGTCACCTTTATTTGTATAGCGCTTTATACAATACTGGTTGTGTCAAAGCAGCTTTACAGTGTCGAACAGGAAAATAGTTTGTCAGTGATGCAAGAAGACAATGACAGAGTAATTTTTTTTTATCTAACATCAGTTCATTGAAAGTTTTGCAAATGCAAAGTAAGTCCTTTTGTTTCTTACATTAGAAGGCCAAGAACTGCACAGATGCCCCAGGTAAGCAGGCCGTTGACATATGTGGTCTCTGTGACAATCTGCTGCTGGCAGTGAACACATTTCATCTGTCCCGGGAAGTCAGCTAGACGCGGTGCCTGTGACACCACCACTACCTGTGTGGCTGAGCAGGGAAATTTTTTTTTTTTTAAAATAATGATAATATTTTCTTGAAATTTAGATTGTTTTGAGAAATTCAGCTTAACAATCTTTAATTCCTACACACTTAAAAATAAAGGTTCTTTATTGGCATCGATGATTCTATGAAGAACCTTAAATGTCCATTATACTTTTCAATGCACAAAAGGATCTTTTAGTGCAAAAATGTACTTTAGATTATTAAAATATTCTTCACAATAAGAAAAAGTGATAATTTTAAGGCCTGTTCACTGAAAGGTTCTTGGAGGTTGGTCAGTTGGGTGCTTGTGAGGACAAACATGTTGGTCACCAGCATGTGCTGAGTTTCTAATGAGTAAGTCAGATGAAGAGAAAGGTACGCTGACCTGTGGCAGGTGCTGATGCAGGCTGAGCCGCTGGAGTTGCAGCGACTGAAGTCATTGGAATGCTCTGTGTGGTTTGAGGAGGATAAACTGCAGGTACCGGGCCTGGAAAATTCTCATGATAAAAACTGACAGAACCAGTTCAACTCATCTCTCTCAGATGGAAAGAAAAAGGTAAACTCACCTGGTTGAGGTTGGTATGCAACTGGTTGTACTGGGTAGGGTACTGGGTTAGTTGGGTTCACCGGAGAACCAGGATATGGAGGGAGTTTGGGATCTTTCTCCATTATTAAAGATCTGTGAGATGAGAAAGAACAGCGTATAAATTGCCATCTGTCTTTCTCCTTTAAACTCTATACTTCAAAAATTTTTTATGTTGTATTAACATAAGTTCTTCCATGTATTTACAGCTGGACCTGTCCAGCATGTCTGCCACACCCTTATGCGTGCCAGGTATTTATTTTAAACCAAGTTCTTAAATGGGATAGTTCACCCAAACCTGTACGAGTTGCTTTCTTATGTTGAACACAAAATAAGTTATTTTGAAGATTGCTGGTATTTTTTTCCCTACTATGGAAGTCAATGGCAACCACCAACTGTTTGATTACCAGCAATCTTCAAAATATCTTCTTTTGTGTTCAACATAAGAAAGCAACTCATACAGGTTTGGAACGACATGAGGGCGAGTAAATGATGACAGAATTTTCATTTTTGGGTGAACTATCCCTTTAACAGATGAGAAGGATAATTCTGAAAAAGCGCCAAAGTCAACCAATCAAGGAAATTATTGTAGACCTTTCCAGCCCAAACTTATGCCATTACCATATACACACACACAAAAATACTTTTGTTTCTCTTTATGACGACTCAACAATTTTATATAAACCGAAAAGGTTTGTCACACTGCCCATTGATTGTAGACAGACCGACACAAAGATAGCAAAACCTTCATCCTTAAACCTCAATGAACAACCAGAAGTCAACTTTTATTACTGTATTTGTCCAATTGAAATACACAAGAACACATACCTGGTCTCTGGAGAGCTGTGGAATACCTTCCTTAGAAAGTCACTGGTCGAGTACAGAGAGAGTACATTAAACTCACAGTTATGACAGCCAGTGATATATAGATAGAGAGAGAGAGAGCGAGGAGGGGAGGGGTATATATGTATGCAGTATATTTCTTGTGTGCATATAATGACATAAATATGGAAAATGTAATATTCATACTATTTGCTATTCACCGTTGCTTTTGAGCTTTCCTCACTATTTTAACTGCTTTTTTGTTTTTGTTTTTGTTTTTTCACTGTAGTTCACTTTCATTTTCCTGCAGTCTGTTTAAAAGTCTACATTTTATACACACATTTTATATTCTGTTTTTCTGTTTGTAAGTGAATGAGAGCTTTTGTCTCATTAGGTATCCCTGCAGCAGCCTACATTTGTGAAAAATAACAATGTCCTTTTCTGCATTTAGTTTCTTTATGAAGCTTCAGACCTGTAACCAAATGTAAATGTACTAAAATGAACTTGTATTAAACAGATTTTTAAGTAATTACAATACCGTTTTCATAAATTACATAAGGTTAGCCAGTCTGATTATTTATGACTTTTTAAAATCAATATTGTTCTTGTCTTTCTATGCAAACAGAGTACAGAAATAGTTCAGAATGAAAGTAAAAATCTTTTCTAAACCCTCCCTCTGTGTCACATTTATGTTCAGTTTTAGCTTTGGTTTCTGTGATAGTTCATAGTTAGTTGCCTTGTTCACTCATTTGATTAGTCATTCTATTCAGCTGTTACCCAATTGGTTCGCTTTTTTTGATCTGTGTATATAGTTTCTGTGTTTTCGGTTCTCATTTGTCCGGTCTCATCTAAGTATGGTTGTGTTAACTTGCCTGCCTTCTTTTGGATTTTCCTGTGAATATTATTAAAGATTGAATCTGAATCTTCTTTGTCGTCCTCATCTCTACAACTAAGTGTTGACACTCTGTGCAGACAGTGGAGAAAAATAAAGAAAAACATTTATAAACTATAAAATAAAGAAATAAACATAAAACAGATGAATAACATGATGAATAACACAATAAATAAAAATACACATAATGATAAAAGTTATTGTTAAAGCTAACAAACAAACAATAAATAAAACAACCAACATACTTCTGTTTCATGTTCCTGTCTTGTCTAGACTTTTATGTTGAAGTGTTTACTGTGTGCTGTTCCTGTTTCCTTGCTTGCCTTGCTTGTCGCCATAGTTACCCTTTTTTGTTCCCATAGCAACTAATCACCTCCACCTGTCCCTAGTTAGCCCTGGTTTTCTTGTGTATGTATATATACCCCAGTGTTTTCCTATGTTATTTGTAAGGTCTTGTTCTTCATGGCAGTAAGTTTGGTGTTCTCATTCTGTTTGCTGTTCCTGGTAATCTGTGCGTCGTGTTTGGCTCATTTGTATTTATTTGTAATAAAGCTCACTTGGATCCAGCTCCTCTTTGTTTTTCACCTCACTTTACACTTCACTGTAATAGTAACCGTCATTTTAGACAATCACACTTCCATCAACATCATCTTCCAGTGTAATATCACCGTTTTCCATGTAAACAAATTTGCCCCAAGTCTTCACAAATAACCATGACTTTTTATTTTTTTTTAAGATTGAATATTGTTTTTTTTCTCCATTGAAACCTAAGATGATAATTATCTAAGCCAGGCAGCAGGTTAAGAGGTTCTATAGATTTCTATTTTACAGATATACACTTTTTTTTTTAACTCGCTGGCTACAAACATGTGAAACTACATTCAAGCGACTATAAAAAGTAATTTATAGTACTTACTGCATTAAATCTGTCTATTGTGCACTGAAGATGTGTAAGGCAGTATATCTTTAATTATGTGGTTAAATAATATATAATTTTAATGGAAAATGTATTGATTTTTAATTAGGATTTCAGCTTGGATATGTTCCAAAATGCTCCAAAATGTTGCATGTGTATGAAGAGATATAGAGAGATGAATACTTAACTTCAGAAAACCCAATTTGCAATGCTTTGCCTGTCAGATACTAGATACAGATATTGTTATTATCCTTTTTGTGTGTGCATCAGAAGGACACTGGATGCATCTTAATGGGGAGGATGGTAAGCATAATGTAGACCAAACAAGCATGAATAAAATGGTTGGTCTGCCCTCTTGTGTTCCTGCAAACAGCCAGTGAACCAATTCCACATTCCAATTATTCAGTAAAAATACCTGAGATGAGTATCCATTTGTTCAGCTCTGCTTTGTGAGTGCTTTTGTAACACTGACCATTTAATGTCCCTCTTGAGCACTGCCCAGTCCAGATCTTTTCACTTTAAGCTTCTCACAGTCTGTTCCTTAGTTCCTCCAGTACCTCGAAGTGAACCTGAGATTGTTGTTCTCCAAGTTCTTAAAAAAAAAAACGGGTATCAAAGAAAACAACTCTCTTCATCTTCAAGAGGGGTGTGCATGATATCGCTCTGGAGTATGTGCATGATTTTTAGGCCAAACTGTATACTGCAGGCCAGTGGATTCCAGATTTTTCTCTATTTATTCTGAATATTTATGTACCCTCTGCCAAATCTCTCCTTTTCGATTGTTGAGGCAAACACCACCAAACTGAAGCTTCAGGTGTGTGTGTGTATAACAAGTGATGTTCCACTGCAAATAGAGCTTAAACAGGAGTTGTTTTATTCATATATATATATATACAGTCCCAGTGGAAAGCATGCGGCATCCTTCCAGAGAAAGTGTAATTCTATTACAAGAAATATCTGTCTAAACTACTGTTCTACACATTTGTCAGGTTGTGATTTAATCTATGCATCTGTTCTACAGGATTTCAAAATATAAACTCATTAACTCCCATATGAAATATACGAATGGATTGGATAGAGATATTGCAACAAAAGGTAAGTTAATAGACTTTGTAGTGGTTGTGTACAGAAGAACAAGAGACATATCTTCGGTCACCAAAACTTTGTAATAGGGTAACATAATGCAAAAATGTATTTCTGGGCAAGGAGTTCTCGATTTTTGGATGGTTCTTCATGTTCTCTGGTGCAGCATGTGCTACAAACGTTTGTAAATGCGGATGATGTTCTTGCAATTTGGACAGGTGTGTTTCACATCCTTGCATGTGTCCACACAGAACGGGATGCAACAACAGAGCCAGCACCTGAAAAAACACAGCAGACAAGCTCTAAATATCAGCAGTCTATGAATAAAATATCAGCAATCTGTGCATACTTACACAAAAATCACAAGGCTTCCGAAGAGTAACCAGGTGAGCAATCCACTGATATATTCGATTTCCGTGATGATGTCCGTCATGCAGTGAGGACAGGTAATGCGGCCTGGTATATCAGTGAGATTCACGACCGCCATCTGGGCAACTGCATATGTACAAATGCATCGATTAAACGCAGAACGATTGCAAAAAGAACAGCTAGTGTAAGCTAGTATTTGCACAGTAAACCATCAGAAGGACATCCATGAGATTAAAAAAAAACATTTTAGGGGTTGCAGGGCTGTGCCTTTCATTATTAGAGATATTTTAGTAATTAATTATAAATAGATACTCTCTTTAATTCATAGCTTGAATAAAAACGTTAGAAATACTGGGTCTTGGGTGCTGGAAACTCACCTATAGGGACCATCGTGGGCTGGATAGTGATGGTTGGATATCCAAACCCATATGGAGGTGGCTGGGAAGGTGCAGCTTGTGGACCTGTAAAAGAGCCAAAGCACTGGTTGATATAACACTGAATTGTTTGATTTCTGATTGTTCGGAATCAAGTTCAGAATTTTCACAAACTACTTGAAGAACGTGTGAAGGTTAGGCCCTTTTAAAACAGGACATTACTTAAGTTTCAATTGTTCAGTTGCTGATTTAATTGTGTTCAGGATCATTAACATGCTATATATATTATCCAGTAGTGAAGTTTTGGCTGATGGATGGACATTGTGAGGTTCACCCGTAAAATTTGCTTGTATATTCCAACATTCATTGTTCTGGGACTTTGAGATGCTCAGGAAACCCAAGGCATCTTTGTTTTTTTCTAAAACTTTCATTCTTCTGATTTTCACAGTCAGAGATTTCACCTCTACGGTGTATGTACAGTATGTTTCCATGTTTGCCACTCTCTCCAATAGTCATTCATTAGTACCAATCTACTGGATTTAAAGGAATAGTTTAATTTTAGTAGTAGAATTCTAAACAAATATGTGGGTGGATTTGGATGTGACAGGACAACAGGGGATGGGCCTTTTCATTAAACGAAATGCTATTATTGATTATGGACTGATATTTGGCCAGAAGCGACGGTTTGAAATTAAAATGCCTTGATGGATTTGTTTCTTACAAACATGTAGCTTTTCACAAGACATTAATTGATGGACTAGAGTGGTGTGGATTACTTGACGGCACCCATTCACTGCAGAGGATCCATGGCCTGAGGGTGAGTACATTTTAAGTAATTTGTCATTTCTGGATGAACTATTCATTTAATAGAGGTCAAAATATTGTAACTGTTTCATATAATATTCTTACACTCATAAATCATAATCTGAGATCACACAAGCCAAAGTCTGTGTTTGTTTTACAGGGAACATCTGACGTCACAGATTGAAACATCATATATTTGACTTCCTTATAACCCCTTACATAAAACTGATAATACATGTGCAGTTTCTACAACAAAGACCGTTGAATATTGGCTTACATTTTGGGGTTGAGATTGTAAAGTTTTCACTAACTTTTATTACATTGGTGCGTGATCATCCTGTTCGTTCTTATTAGTGTGATTAAAGTGGAAGATCAGCTGACCTGCTTGAGATGGGTATGCTGCCTGCTGCTCAGGGTAGTTTATGCCTGTCTGGTCCATATGAGGACTAGAATAATGCGGGGGTGAGTAGTCTTTCTCCATGATCAAAAACCTGTGGATGCAAAAACATAAAGACGAGGAATTGGAAAATAGATGTACGTTTCTTTATATTCGTCATGTCATTTTCTCTCTTTCCTAATCTTGTTCTGCTATAGCACATGCCACAAACAGCACACACACACACACACACACACACACATATATTTATATATATATATATTATCATGATAGCACTGACTTATCAATGCAAAGCTCAATAACATATCCCTTTATGTACTTGGCATATAACAAAAGCATAACCTTCACTTTAATGGAAAAATTGTGTGCACAACACGTACCTGTGAGTCCCTGTATGCGTTGTGTTGCTTCTCCTCTCAATGTACAGCAGGATCTGGATGGCTGTGAGTGAGAGCGAGAGGGCGTGGACAGCAGGCTACAGTCATAAATGTGGGCATAAAACTACAGACGAGATAACAGTGACACTTACTGCATAGACAGGGTTATCTTTACATCAGTTATGACCAACCTGCCTGTTTTCCAAGACCAGGAGAGAAAGAAAGCATCATTATCATGCTTACCAAGTTATTTTTCCACTTGTTTACATACTTCCTGTTAATGTTAGAGCAAATTTTGGCAGACTTGTGATTTAGATGGCACTGTCCATGAACAGGTTACATAATCGGGCCTAAATCCTAAATTGTCACTCAGGAGGGTCTAACCAGATGGGAACCAATTGTTGGTTTTTGGCTATTGATAACCTTGTGAAGATGTTGTTAGATTTTCTTCTTATAGTAACTTAACAGGGTTGAATAGTTCAGTTTGATGAATGCAGTCGACACAATTATATCTGTATTTTTTTTTTTACTTGTCTTTATACCATGCTGTAAAAAGATCCAAATGGTGTCACTTTCTGGGTGACAACATTGTTAAGCAATGTTACATGTTATGTAATAGGGCAAAGTTATGCATTAACAGGAATGCATATTACGTTTGGTTGGACAAAATATTGACATTTGATGCGTCTCCTATTTTTCATTGTTAATTTTATGTTTAATTTTTAATAAATAGCCTGTTTGTGTAGTACCATATGCAGATTATAAACCACTTTATCATGTTCTGATTTGATTTCAATGGTTTCATTTTGATTATATTTGTAGTGTGTTCATTGTATTCATGTTTCATGTAATCTGAGACCAGATTTTTGGACTTTACTGCAGTCCAGTTCCTCTCTTACACTTCTTTTGGGTGATGTACACACGCTGTAAATGTATCGTTATATTTTGCTCTGTCAGTTGTACTAATTGCTCGTAAAACGTTAATGTGATACTGCATCATGGGAGGAAGTTTCCATTAACCCAGTGAAACAGATGAGTGCTGTTCCATTCTGTTGATTCATATCACCTCAATTTGAGTCCAGCGTTTCCTGGAATTAGTCAGTTATTAACCTTAGTGAAGCAACATGATGTCAATTAAAATCCTGCTAGAAAGAGGAAGCACCTGACCTGACACCGGGAGGAACGATGCATGTTATAATACATCACGTACACTCACTAAACAAAGAGTGACAGAGACAGTGACAGAGCAGAGCCAATTCATAAAAGAAGTATATTTAAAAGCACACGTCCAGTTTTGTGTGAGTGAAGGAAATCCACTTGGGAGTGGAGAGATTCGTCCTCGCGCACATGGATCGTGTGCCTACTCATGCCAGGATCCGCCACTGCCAGATGCAGTTAGAAATTTACTAAAAACAAGCCTATCGCAAGACATCTGGTAGGGGGGGCACCTGGGGTGGCCAGCCAAATTTCAAGGGGGCCCGGTGCCACCACGTAGACACGCCCCTGTTTCCAGCAGCTTAGTAGGTAGTTGAGGGGGTTTAGTCTAGTAGGGGTGTAGTGTATATAGTTTAAGGATATTGGTAAATAAGTCTGTGAAATGTATGTAAATTGAAAAAACTGTACCACAATGCCAAAGTATAGTTTAACTTATTTAATTTGCCTTGCACAGATTATTGAATCTTAAATACAGGTTATACAGCATCAGAAAAACGTAAAGTATACAAATGAAAGCTGTATATAAGGTAAAAGAAATATATGAAATGTGTATAGGATAAATGAGTAAATATACCAAAAAAGAAATAAATATACAGGGGGGGAAAAATCACAAATTACTAAATTGCAGTGATGGCTTCGGTCACAACACTTTCATTGTATCAAATTCTTCTATTTACCATGTGTTTATTGGCATCTACTGGTCTCTTATCAGTCCTGGGCATTCCAATCATTTAAATAGATTGACTAATCACGCTCCTCCAATAGCTGGTGGGTGTCCTGGTACGCTTTGACTGACTTTGCATCATTTGGAGGGATGCTGCACACAGGTGGTGGTAGAGGAGATTTCTCCACTCTGTCGGAAGGTCTCTCTCCAGTGTGAATTATCATGTGACTTTTAAGGCTTTGTTTCACTGTGAAACTCCTTCCACATTCAGAGCAGATGTAAGGTTTCTCTCCAGTGTGAATTCTCGTGTGTCTCTCAAGGCCTTGTTTCACTGTGAAACTCATCATACAATAAGGGCAGGCAAAAGGTTTCTCTCCAGTGTGAATTTTCATGTGCCTCTCAAGGGTAATGTTCATTGTGAACCTCTTTCCACACGCAGAGCAGATGAAAGGCTTCTCTCCAGTGTGAATTCTCATGTGGTTTTGAAGGTGTCCTTGCTGCATGAATCTTTTTCCACACTCCGAGCAGGTGAAATTCTTCTCTCCGATGTGAATTCTCACGTGTCTCTTAAGGCCTTGTTTCACTGGGAAACTCTTTCCACACTCGGAGCAGGCGAAAGATTTCTCTCCAGTGTGAATGGTTACGTGACTTTTAAGGTGCTCTTGTTCTGTGAAGCTCTTTCCACACTGAGGGCAGGTGAAAGGCTTCTCTTCCATGTGAATACTCATGTGTCTCTTAAGGTTTCTGTTCACTGTGAAACTCCTTCCACACTCAGAGCAGGTGAAAGGCTTCGCTCCAGTGTGAATTCCCATGTGACTTTCAAGGTGTCCTTTTTCCATGAAGCTCTTTCCACATTGGGTGCAGGTGAATGGTTTCTCTGCAGTGTGAATTCTCACGTGTCTCTTAAGGCTCCTGTTCACTGTAAAACTCTTTCCACAATCAGAACAGCTGAATGGTTTCTCCCCAGTGTGAATTCTCATATGAATGTTAAGCTTTTGTTTCTCTGTGAAGCTTATCCCACACTCGGAGCAGGTAAAAGGCTTCTCCCCAGTGTGAATTCTGATGTGTCTCTCAAGGTTTTGTTTAAATATGAAACTCTTTCCACACTGAGGGCAGATGAACGGCTTCTCTTCCGTGTGAATGCTCATGTGCTGCTTAAGGTTTGCTTGCATCTCATACTGATGACATGTGACAGAATCTTCTTTCAGTTCTTTAAGATCTAAAATAATCAATGTCAAAAATCACTTTATGGACAATTACGTTGAGACAGCTGCACAGTAACGGACAGTAATAGATGTGCACCCCAAACAAGAGAGAAAGATGAACATCATAAATATGTATCTTCACTAAATCAGATTAGAGTTTGGGATGCACACGAGTACTCAAGTAAGAATCGGTTTTAAATTGTTATTACACAGCTCTCTTGAATTCTTCATTCTGATTGGTCAAACATGGCTTCTGATATATTTATTGTTGTTTTTAGTTCGCTGGGTAACTGAAACCTGCGGCATGTTTTCATGTCTCTCACATCACACTATGAACTGAACTCGTTTCATTCAAATGAAAATGCATATTTCAGTATTCATATTTTTTTGAAGTGTTCATCTTGTTGCTTTTTCTTGTTCATATTTATGTTGCAGTGGACCATTTGTTTTTCTTAGCAGAAGCTTTAAGATAATATATAGGCAGGATTATAAAATAATTTCAACTCAAATCAGTATTTCATATCCACCTGCTTATTTTTATGGTGAGCAGCATAATGTACAGTTAGCTGATCAACATACTTTTTACACAAATAATTTGTTGTGATGCCATATTCAACAAAAATACATTACAATATAATGTGATATAAAATATAATGTTGAATATGGTGTTAAAATATTATTAGAATGTAGGCCTACCCCTAGTTTCTCTGACCTGCTGTTGTACTTGAGTGGTCTTCACTGCATGGAAGGAGGCATCTGGCATTAAATATATATATCTGAACTTGTTTTAGTTGAAACACTTGAGCATTATGTGCATAGACATTTAATGATACTTTACATGATTTGTCAAATTCAGAGTCAATTGACCTGATGCTTGCCCATTTCTCATGAGTTAATTTGACCAGCAAGAATCTTATTAAATCATCAAATCTAAAAACAAATCGCGTTTTCTAAGGCATTTTTAAAATAGTTGGGTCTATATATTCCCAGCTATTTAAACATCTGGAGTAACAACCTTTCCAAATCGGCATAAATCATTTGATACTCATCACTTTTCATTAGTTGCAGTCAACAGAATAAACATAATCTTTTAATTTATTTGATTCTTTGTAACTGACAAAGAACCAACTTACACGGCCTTTTGTTCTTGCAATCTTGTATAGGTAAGGACTGGCATGTTTTCGCATCTGGTGCATCTGTGCTCTGATTGTTTTCATGCTGCTCCATCTTTAGCACCAGGAAATGTTCGATGCCGCTTATTTCATCAGCCTCCATCAGTCAGGTTTCATTCACTCTATTCTCTAATGCATATCCTACAGCCAAAACGGATTTGGTTTGAAATCACTGATTTGGCTTTCTTTTTAAATAAGCTTCCAAGTTTCCACATACGAAGCAGTGCGCATCTCAAACTGGTCCAGTCACGTGATTTCAGCACCGCGGCCATGCTGCCGCGTCATGTACTGCTCGGAAAAGCGTTGACATTTCAAGTGTTCACCGCTAGGGGGCGACGATCAGCTGAACTGGGGGTGCCCAATCTTGTTTCTGGAGATCTACCTACCTTCAGAGTCCAAGTCCAACCCTGAGCACGTACCTGTCTATAATTATCAAGTGCTTTTAAGATCTATATTATCAAAAGGGAGATGCAAAATCTGCAGTGTTGGGGTTGGGGGACAAAATGTGCAGTGTCTGCAAAAATCCCAAAAGCCTCTCTTAGTATCAATTTATAACAAAGAGAGGCTTTTTGGATTTGTGAGTTGAAATCATTAACCCTGACTGGATTAAACGAAGAGATGGATCTTGTATGTTTGTTGTAAAGGGAAATTGCTGGTATGACAATTATCCCTCATTGATTAAGATCAGCTGTCAACAATTTGCAACTGTGCCTATTTAAGTGTGTTGTTGCTTTTTTGCTTTATGAGCACTGAAGAAAGCATGGGCTGAAACGTCTGCTCTTTGAGCTGTTTTTAATACACTTTGCACTTTTTTCCAATTTTGCATATGGATAATAAAAACTACTTTTTTGGTCTGATTGGAAATAATTTTCAGTGTGCGGACGAATTCAGCGACTTGTTGGACTATATTATATTTAATAAATTAATTCAATGGCATAATCAAACAAATTGACTACATCACTCTCCTCCGATAACTGCCCGATGTGCTTGTGCGCTATGACTGCCATCACTTCATTTGGATGGATTCTGTACACAGGTGACAATAAGCTTCTCTCCAGTGTGATTTCTCAAGTGACGTTTATGTTGCCTGAAGCTCTTCGCACACTGAGGGCAGGTGAAAGCAGGGCCGTGCAGAGGCCTTTAGAGGGGCAGGTGCTCAAAGTATAAAAGGGGCACATGGAACACGTATTTTAATAGGGCTGAAACAGATGCTTCTGTATTGATACAGCAGCAAATGCAGTTTTGAAAAAGAAACACAGAACAGAAAAGACCATTTTAAGTTTAAAAGTTAAAGATTTTTTTCTTTGCATCTCTTAATTACTCTGGAATTAGAAACGGAATTATATTGATGATGATGATATTATTATTATTGTTGAGTTTACAGGGTATGGTGGTTTTGCTGTTTTAAACACTACACTCCACTTTTTGGGTTCAAAACATCCCAACTGCTGGGTCAAAACAACCCAATAGCTGGGTTTGTCCCTTTTTAACCCAGCGCTGGGTTATTTTTAACACAGCACTGGGTTATTTTTAGAGTGTACTGTTGCTGTTGTAGAAAAAAATATTTCTGTCTTATTTAAAACAGAATTCTATTCTAATCCTGTTCTGAATTTATAAATTTTTTGAATAATGATAATAAAAACAGGATTGATAAGTATAATTCGGAGGATGAGAAAATCAGTATTAAGCCTTACCAGTGTTGTAATTATTTTTAAGGCACTTTACGTTTTTTAAATAAATACTGTAATAATTGTCACAAATCCGGTCCATGAACTTCCGTCTGCTAGCCATCAGAGGTCACCCTTCCCATTTCATTGACTCTCGCACTACACACTGTTGCATGTCACGGACTACATATCCCATCATCCACTGCACTGATGACACACACACAGTTGATTGCACAGCACTGATTGCACACAGCTGTTATCACTCACACATCCCCTATTTAACTCTCACTCTGATCCCATTCCACGGCCGAGTATTGTATGTGTTTAGCACTTATCATTTGATAGCTACATTACAGAGCCCTCGTTAGCCTAGCCTAGCCTGTTTTCTCAGTTTTTGATCTTCGCCTGTTTTCCTGGATTTCTCTCTTTAGTCTTGCCCCTTTTGATTCTGTTCGCCGTTCATGGACCTTCGCTAGCCCTAGGATTATTCTTGTGTCTTGCCCGCCATATACCTGTTTGCCATTGTTCGACCCTGCCTGTGTTTCTGACCTCTCTGCTTAATAAAGCTTGCACATGGATCTGCATGTCTCATGTCTGGTCAGCCCCGTAACAATAATAATATTTCAAAGTATGAATAGTTTTGTCAGATAACATAAAGACAAGACCCCTCAACGCCCTTTAAACTTTTCCCAATTAAACAGCAAGAACGAACACATTGAGGGCAGAAGAACGGCTTGCCTTCAGTGTGAATTCTCATGTGAATTCTTAAGACTTGCTTGATAAACGAAACGCATCCCAGTAATGTTTTTTCTAAGGCATGTTAATAAAAATTACTTAAATGAACTATGGCCTAATCCTGGCTTAGTCTAAGCCCTGTCTGTGAAACCAGGCCATGGTGTATTAATGTATGTCATGTTAATCAAAATGTTTTGTTTGCTGAATATTAAGTGCTTTCCATTATATTGACATATTGTATTTCCCTGCTTTAGAAACATTCATGTAAACACTTCTAATAGGGATATTTTACAGTGCCAGGATGAAAATTACATTTGAAAGCATTGTTAAATCAAAATGGACAATTCCTAATTTTATGGAACAATGCAATGTTTATTCTAAAATAATTATTTAATTATTATTATAATAAATAATTATTTACAATTCATGTGCCCTTGTCATTTTTAATCAAAATAACTTTTCCCTTGCAATGACATCTCGTCTTATGATGTGCGACAATAACCCCTCTCCCTCCAGCACTCATGAGATCACAGCAATAGCAAACGACAACGATCCAGTCCACTCTCGATGGACAAAATCAAGTCCTGCATTTTCTTCTAGTTCAGGAAGTCGTTTCACTTGGATATACAGCACAACAGGATGAAACAGAGCCAACGTACATTTGGACTCATTAAAACTTTGAATGAAAGTGATAAGCAACTAACACTGACTTTCTGTTTTGCAGCAGCTAAGTGAGGAAAAGCTGGGCCAGACATTTTAGAAGTTGTCATTGCCTCCCTGCCAGTTTCTCTTCCTCATGAAGATTTTTGTCTGACATTCAAAATTATTCAAATGTATTGTCAAGTTAACTCTTCTGTAGCAGAAGAGCATGAGGGAGGAAATGAAGTGATAAGAAACGAGCAGTTTATTGAATAACCTTAGATATTTGTGTTAGTCAATGCTCTGACTTTATCTAAACAGAAACATACATGTTCTTATAACAAGAAAAGGTTATGGGAATTTTCTGCTTAACAGTGTATGCAGTCATGAAAAGACTTCTTATCCTGAGCATGCAGGGATGATAAAGTTGTTCTTTCCATCTGTTACAGTTCTTACAGATTCATGAAACTTAAAGGGATAGTTCCCCCAAAAATGAAAATTTGCTGTTAATTTAATCACCCTCAGCTTATCCAAGAGGATTTATCTGATTTGATTTTTTTCTTCTTCAGCAGAACAGTAAAGAAGATTTTTAGGTGAAACCGTTGTCATTGGGGATTCATACACTGCACGTCTGTGGCTGCTTCTACACAGAAGACCAAATCAATACCCGTGGCTCCTGACGATACATTGAGGTCTTCTGAAGCAAAAAGATCAGCATGAGCAATAAAATTAACATTATTAACAAAATATATGTAATATTGTAAACTATGCTGTAATCACCCACATTTTTTAAATTTGTCTCATATTTTTGTCCATGGGTGTTCTTGCTTATTAATAAATATTCATCTTTTGATTATTACTGTTGCCTCTAGTAATTTTGTGTGTGATTTTTTATTTCCAGCCCATTTTAAACCAGCAATATAGTAATTTTTAAACAATAGTTGAGTTAAAAATAAAACGAGTAAAACATTTAATCCAACCAGCTGGGTCAAAACAACACAGCATGTGTTCTGTCCAATATTACCCCGGTGCTGGGTTGCCAAATAACCCAGCAATGGTTGTTTTTATATTCAAAAACGGTGTCCTGACATTTTACCCTACTCGTCAGATTGTCCTGCCTGGGCTTACAGCGCATGTGCACATCAATATTGTGTCATTTTTTGTCATGCTGAACAACACATTATTACTGTATTAGTATTACTGTAAGGGTAGGTTTGGGGTTGCAGTAGGTGTAGATGTAAATAAAGCACAATCTGATAGGTAGCATTTTTCAATGTCGAATTCAATTGTTTTAATGGGAGGTAGCACAAATCGTCAAAACACCGGCAGCCACAGACGTGCAGTGTATGAATAGCCAAGGACAGCAGTTTCAACTAAAAATCCTCTTTACTGTTCTACTGAAGAAACAAAAGTCACCTACATCTCGGATAGCCTGAGGGTGAGTAAATTAACAGCAAATTTTCATTTTTGGGTGCCTATGCCTTTAAATGTTATTTTTTGTACATTAGGTTATACATTATTAGAAAAACATCACATAAATCAATATTAAAATATAAGGTATAATAAACATTCAAAATATGCAGAATAATTGTGTAAATATATAATTAAGGGGAAACACCGCAGCTCCCATAATAATGAACAATAGAAACACTTACTCATTAAGAGTAGAGTAATTGTCCTGTTGGTCTCTTATTGGTCATGACATCCTAGTCATATAAACAGATTGACTACATCACTCTCCTCCGATAGCTGGTGGGTGTCTTGGTATGCTATGACTGCCATCACTGCATTTGGATGGATGCTGTACACAGGTGACAGCAGAGGAGATTCCCCAACTCTGTCAAAATGCATCTCTCCAGCGTGAATTCTCATGTGACGTTTAAGGTGTCCGTGTTGCGTGAAGCACTTTCCACACTGAGGGCAGGTGAAAGGTTTCTCTCCAGTGTGAATTCTCATGTGATTCTCAAGGTTTTGCTTCACTGTGAAACTCTTTCCACACTCGGAACAGGTAAAAGCCTCCGCTTCATTGTGAAGTTTCATGTGACTCTCAAGGCTTTGTTTCACAGTGAAACTTTTCCCACATTCACAGCAGATGAAGGGCTTCAGCCCAGTGTGAACTCTCATGTGACTATCAAGGTTTTGTTTTATTCTAAAACTCTTTCCACACACGAAGCAGGTGTAAGGCTTCTCATCAGTGTGAATTTTCATGTGTCTGTCAAGGTTGGTTTTCATTGTGAAACTGTTCCCACATAGAGGGCAGATGAAAAGTTTCTCTTCAGTGTGAATTTTCATGTGTCTCTCAAGCTTTTGCTTCATTGTGAAACTCTTTCCACACTCAGAGCAGGTGAAAGGTTTCTCTCCAGTGTGAATGGTCATGTGGCTCTCGAGGCTTTGTTTCACTGTGAATCTCTTTCCACACTGAGGGCAGGAGAAAGGCTTCACTCCAGTGTGAATTCTCATGTGACTCTCAAGGTTTTGTTTTACTGTGCAACTCTTTCCACACTCAGAGCAGGTGAAAGGTCTCTCCCCAGTGTGAATTCTCATGTGACTCTCAAGGCTTTGTTTCACTGTAAAACTCTTTCCACATTCAGGGCAAATAAATGGCTTCTCTCCAGTGTGAGTCCACATGTGACGTTTAAGACTTTGTTGTTGTGTGAAGCTCATCTCACAGATTGAGCAGGTGAAAGGTTTCTCTCCGATGTGAATGCTCATGTGACTTTTAAGACACTGTTTTGCTGTGAAACCTTTTCCACACTGAGGGCAGATAAACGGCTTCTCTCCCGTGTGAACTCTCATGTGACTCTCAAGGCTTTGTTTTACTTTGTAACTCTTTCCACATTGAGGGCAGATGAACGGTTTCTCACCAGTGTGAGTTCTTATGTGACGTTTAAGGTATCCTTGTTGCGTGAAGCTCACTTCACACTGAGGGCAGGTGAAAGGTTTCTCTCCAGTGTGAATTCTCATGTGACTTTTAAGGCTTTGTTTTGATGTGAAACTCTTATCACATTGAGGGCAGATAAAAGGTTTCTCTCCAGTGTGACTTCTCATGTGAATGTTAAGCTGACCTTGTTGCGTGAAACTTTTTCCACATTGAGGGCAGAATAAAGGTTTCTCTCCAGTGTGAATCCTTAAATGAGACACAAGCTTTTGTTTCACTGTGAAACTCTTTCCACACTGAGGGCAGATGAATGGTTTCTCTTCAGTGTGAATTCTCATGTGCTCCTCATGACTTGCTTCCTTAAAGAAATGCATCCCACATTCATGGAGAATGACAGAATCTTCTTTCCGTTCATTCTGATCTAAAATAAACATTAAAATATCTATGTAAAAAATAAATTCAAGGATAATTAAGGTGAGACTGAGCCAAAGTAAGTTTAACAGCAGAATGCGACAAAGGTCTCTGATATACTAAAGGTTAAATCTGCCATTCTCATGTTGTTACAATTAATGTTCTTGTCTATAGCATTTTCCACTATAAGATAGCGTTAGGTCCCATTTATACCCAGTACTAAGATCCAACTCTCTTGTATTTGTTAAAATGGGTGTAAACAGGATACAAAATTCAAACCACATTCATGGCTGGTCAGGGATGCATGTGGTCACGTTAGAGCAAGTGAAGGGAGTAAAACCCGAAAGGGTTAAATTGGTGCCGTGACCCGGATGGGAGTGAGGTTTAGGAGTGAGTGTAACGGAACCAACAGAAACATTGGTTCCCACTCGGAGCAAGCGAGGGGAGTAGAACAGGAGGGGTTACACAAGCATGTGCATCTTTATGTAAAGACCAAAAGTTTGCTTCTGTCATTTTGCAATCTAGCTAGTCTTCATTCATCTTCCCCTTGTTGGTGAAATGGTGGGGTTGTGTTCTGTTTTGTTGTATTTAGACGTATCATGGGTGGGTTTTAGAGTAGCGTTGCAAAGCCACTGGCCAGACATTGGAAATGCAGCTTGATTTTGTCCTCGTGGCTTGGGATCCAAGGCTATTGGCCCCGCTCAACTCATTGTAAGCCCTGGCTCACAATGGCCTGACAGTGGAAAAGCATACAACTATTATGACCAAAAAAAAAAAGTTTAAGCACCACTATCATTTTAATACACATCTGGGACACATTCACTGTGGAGAGAGCATGTACATGTATTTTTACATGTACATTAAGACTTATTTAAAAAGCAGTGAATAAAACGACTAGCATATAAATGTTTACCATTCACAAAATGGAATGCTTTTTAAACAATTATGTGAAATAACTTTACATAATCACAAATATATGTTTATAGCTAGTTTATATTGCTATATTTATTAATCACTGTTTTATAATTTGATTTTGCAGTCATGTGAAATATTGTTAAAATTATCATTTCTTATTCTATTGCCCCCCACCCCCATTTACTATTATAATGAACATTTTACAGCATGCAAAATGTTTTGGAAGGCAGTCAATAAAGAAATATACTTTTGTTTGGAGAGTGCTGTATTATGTCTTTTTAATTTTATTAAAAGGAATGAATGATAATTTATTTAAGTATCCAAAAAAATCACAATTTCACTAGGCTTCAGTCTGATTTTAGATTTCTTTTTTTTAAAGTTGCTCTTGCAAATCCGCAACAATTGTGGTCCTTTCAACATCTGGAATAACCACCTTTCTAGACTTATAAATACATTGACACGTGTGGCTTTATTGGTCACGATTAACAGATTCATTTAACTTATTTGATTCTATGAAATTGACAAATAACCAACTTACACTGTTTTTCATTGTTGTGCTCTTGTCTAGGTGACGACTGGCAGGTTTTTGTCCTCACATCTGGTGCCTGTGTGGTCTGGTCGCTTTCATGCTGCTCCATCATTTTCCATCAAGTTTATTTCGCGGAATATCCGTTATTCAGTTTTAATTCACTCTATTCTCTAATAGACATTCTACAACCGAAACTGACTTGGCTTATAATATAAGCAGCATTAATGCAGCGATGGGCGCTTTCAAAACACGGTTCATGAAGAACCGAAACGTCAACGATTCTTTTGTTTCGAATCAGTGGCTCGGAGCACGTATCAAACTAGCGAGGTCATGTGATTTCAGCTCGTTACGTCACAAGTTGAACATTTCGATGTTTTGCCACTAGAGGGCGGTGAACTCAGCGTTATCTGGCGAACTCAGTGTTGTTTAATTTAATGTCAAGTCCGGCTTTGCAAGTTATAAAGGCAATAAAATAATCAACAGATATTTCTATAGATTATATATAAATAAATAAATATGTATATACAGGCAACAGTCTGTTAACATTGGCATAAATAAATAAAATACAACAATTTAAAACAGAAATACATCAAACGAAGTTGACATTTTATCACCTCATTAACAAATCAATTGCAACACATAATATTTGCTGGAAATACCTCATTTCAAACAAGAAAAACAGTCTTCTGCATCAATTTTGATGAGTTTGGCAAAACTAACATTAATGAAAAATGCTCCTCTGCATTAAACATGGCAAGTGACAGAAGTGAATAAGGCTGAACTATACAGTGTCGGTCGGTAAAGATTTTGATTTATTGATTATTTCATGACGTAAAAATATCCAGTAGACTGATAAAGTTACCGACAAAACCTTTGGAGAATGATTCCAGTGCTCAATACTCACCATAACGTCTTGAAACTTGTAACGCTGAATATATGTCTTCTGATTGTATTTATGCAGCTGAATCGTCTCAGCTCGCTCTCCCGCGCATCCGCATTTGAATTCGCAATCCCAACGGCTTTCCTCAGGCGCATGTTGTGCATGCACGTGTAGCGTTATTTGAATGTAGGACTTTTCCCACTTCGACAGTAAATTGACTGAGCTCAATTGTTCGGTGAATGTAATACTATAATTTTTGTTTTGGTTTAATTACCCGAAAGTCATTTGCAATTATCAATTTGCACAGCTTTTCAAAATAAAGTTTTTACATTGTAGTAACTTAAAGCTGCAGTCCGTAACTTTTGGCGCTCTAGCGGTTAATAAACAGAACGTCTCGGGTTACTTATGTAACCATGGTTCCCTGAGTAGGGAACGTGTATTAATGTATGTCATGTTAATCAAAATGTTTTGTTTGCTGAATATTAAGTGCTTTCCATTATATTGACATATTGTATTTCCCTGCTTTAGAAACATTCATGTAAACACTTCTAATAGGGATATTTTACAGTGCCAGGATGAAAATTACATTTGAAAGGAGAGGTGATGACAACATGAGATGTCAACATGTTTTATTTAAATAGTCAATAAAATAAAACAAAACAACATACACATGTGCTTAGTAAGAAAACAAAACCAGAACAAACGGAGACGGTTTAGGTGTTAAAATAATCAGTACATTGGAATTTAAAAAACATTTACAATCGTTTTGATGGCATAAAATATGACCAAATGTTCTTTGGAATGTTCTATGGTGACTCTGTTCGGTGCACATTCAAAATAAGATTGCATTGCTAAAGAAAAGCTTTGGGTGGATCAGTTCGACGCATTCCAACCTGCAAGTCCTACAATGGCCATCTAGATTCTATGTTGAGTACATGCTGTTTATCGGTCTCTACATAGCAACAGCCTTCAAAACGGATAATCACACAGATAATCCATCCGTCCATTCTCCAAACAGCTTATCCTCTGTAGGATTACGGGGGGCTGGAGTCTGTCCCGGGGAAACACCCTGGACAGATGGGCAGGCCATCACAGGGCTCACACACATTCACACAAACACAGCTAATGTACGTTGAAATTCAAGTTGTAACAGTCTGTAATGGGCATCTGCAAATAGGACTCTGATGTAAATATAAGCATTATCAATTTCTATTCATGGTTTTGAAAATCTAAACCTAATCATTGTCACCGTAAAATTTTGACTTTAGATTTGTAGTGTTTTGTTTTTTAAAGTTTTTAAATCTCCCCATATAATAATAGGTTATCATTTTTTGTTGGTTATTTTGCGTGCGAGGCAGCCGTCTGAAGTGAATTTATATAGAACCCTTTTAGTTCAAATGTTCCTTCTTAAATTTTGTGAATAAAAACAATAACTACGTTGCTAGTCTGATTTACATTAAGTAATTGATTTTAAAAAACAAAAGTATAAAATATTTTGATCATGAGACTGCAGAGTAAGACAGCTAAACATAATATTTGATAACAGTTTTATTACGGTACATAAATATTAAAGTCATTGTTAAATCAAAATGGACAATTCCTAATTTTATGGAAGAATGCAATGTTTATTCTAAAATAATTATTTAATTATTATTATAATAAATAATTATTTACAATTCATGTGCCCTTGTTAGAAGAACATTGTAGCCGGAGCTACTTCTCTCGGTTTATGTCTACGGCGAATCACGCAGGTACTGGGCTACTCCGCAGCGCTACCAACCCGAACCGGTATAAATAGTCCGAATATAAACATTTATTAAAGGTGTACCGTAGTGATTCAGGACAAGCCAAAAACACGGTTTGGAAAATGGATTCATGGTGTACTCGCTTATTATATAAATTTTGAACACAAAAAAGTTACGGACTGCAGCTTTAATGTGATGGGGAAAAAACCCCACGAATGCAGCCGTTTTCAGCACATTAGGCAGTGAATATGTGCATTCTATGAATACATTTAATTAACGTGGTTACAGGAATTTTGTGAATTGTGTGTATCCAGTTGAAAATACTGTGAAACAAAGGCACAGTCTGATGAACAACTCAACTGACCTTCAGCAGCTCAGTGAGAAAAACGACAGGATTTTCTCACACCAGACATTTTAGAAGTTGTCATTGCCTCCAGCCAGCTTCTCCCTCTGTTAGATTTTTGTCTGATATTCAAAGGTATTCAAACATATTGTTAAGTTAACGCTTCTGCAATGAGGCTGATATAGAGAAAGACAATGCAGTTATTTTCCCCATCAGTTACAGTTCTGCCTTGCACAGATTAATGAATCTAAAATGCTATTCTTTGTACAACACAGCATTATTCAGCATTAGAAAAACATGCTAAGAATCAGTATAAATGAAACATATGTAAAGTATAGGAATACGTGAAATGGGTATGTTGAATACATTAATAAGAGAAACACCAAAACAGCAATGCTATTCTCATGACAATATTAAGCTTATGTTTAAGACTCTTCTCACACTCAAAGCAGGTAGAAGTCTCAAGCGTGAATTCTCATGTTTCTCTCAAGGTTTCATTTTACTGTGAAACTCCTTCCACACTTAAGGCAGCTGAAAGGCTTCTCTCCAGTGTGAATTCTCATGTGACTGATGAGGTTTCGTTTTACTGTCAAATTTGTTCCACATTGAGAGCAGCTGAAAGGCTCTTCTCCAGTGTGAACTGTCATGTGAATCTCAAGGTTTCGTTTGAACTCTTTTCACATTGAGGACAGTTGAATGGCTTCTCTCCAGTGTGACTTCTCATGTGACATTTAAGTTGTCCTTGTTGTGCAAAACTTTGAGGGCAGCTGAAAGGTTTCTTTCCAGTGTGAGTTCGTATGTGATTCTTAAGGTGCTGTTTCGATGTAAAACTCTTTCCACACTGAAGGCAGGTGAAAGGCTTTTCTACAGTGTTAATTCTCATATGCTTTTGAAGGCTTGCTTGTTGAATAAAACACATGCTACTGATGACAAATGAAAGAACCTTCTTTTAGTTCGCTCAGATCAACAACAAAAAAAGTAATTAAAAAATCAATTCAAGGGCAATAAAGGTGAGAAAGTTCGATCTGCAATCCAATTTATTGGGAGAATACAACAGAGGGTCATTGTTTTATCTTTTGAATCTGTTATTCTCATGTTATTGCCATAAAATAGAAATAGATATACAAATGTATATATGTATATAATTATCTTTTAGGTTATTATCTTTTAGATGCACTTTGCTTTTTTCATCTATAGAGAGAGATTTACACCTGGTACTAATATCCATCTCACTTGTATCTCTTAATACAGGATTAAACAGGATCACTGTTCAACAGAACACTTTTTTTTGTTACAGAAGATAGACAGTGACTTGTTTTTCCAGCTTACTGCATTTTAAAGAATAATAAATAAATAAAACATTTAAATTTGTAAAAAATAAATAAATAAATAAAAATGTCACCAAATCAGACTACAAATAGGGATGGGCATGAGTACCTAAGTAACCCAACTAGCATGTTAAATTTTGTTATTACAAGATTTTTTTCAATGACAACACTTTTGTGAAATTAAGCTTCATGCATAGACATTGTAATGCTGCAGCTGCTTTATGATGTGTCGAAAAGTGACCCAATAACCTGATTTTGCCTCATCTCTCTTATTACCTTATTTTTTTCAGTGTATCACAATTGTTAAATCATCTAAGTAATTACTTTAATCATCAAAAAATCGCTGTTTCTACATTAATTGGTTCTGTGGTTTAATTTTAGTTGGTCTGACAAATCCCCAACTATTGCAGATATTTGAACATTAAATTATCACTTATATGTATCTATATTTTAGATTATTTTTCATTAGTCACGACCAACAATTACCATATTCCTTTGACTTATTTGATTCTTTGTAAGTGACAACTAACCATCTTACACTGTCTTTTATTCTCCCGCTCTTCACCAGGTGAGGACTGGCAGGGTTTCGTCTGCACATCTGGGGTCTGATTGTTTTCATGCTGCTCCAGCTTTATCACCAGGAAATGTTCGATCCCGTTTTTTTCACAGATCGCTCCACCAGTCATTTTTGTCAACTCAATCCACTAAGAAAGATTATGCAACCAAAAATGGTACTTAAAGGGGTCCTATTATGCTCTTTTACAAAGTCTTGATTTTGTTTTGGGGGTGTACTAGAACATGCTCTCATGCTTGGTGGTTCGAAAAACGCATTATTTTTCACATAATTTACATTATTACAATACCTTTCTCCCCAGGCTGGCACAAACGGCTCGATTAGTTCCGGCTTTGATGAAAGTCCGCCTTCTGAAAAACAAAATGTGTTGTGATTGGTTAGCTGTCCCAGCGCGTTGTGATTGGC